GTTTTTTGAATTCATTGTATTTATATATATATATATTGAATATAAGTGCTTAATATTATATTGCATTTCCTATTATACAAATACAAACGCTAGGTGGAGCTTCAAGTTTATAGTTTAATAAGGCTGTATGTTCAAGCGGGAAAAGAAAGGGAATAAATCCGAGAAATAAAATCTACGCAATCTTTAAGAACAATGTCTGAACAGGAGGTAATGTTTCCATGAAATGTTTATTTCAAATTCTAAAAATTGTACTAAGTGATTTTTTTTCAAAAAGAATTATTGCATATTGATTTTTGTTACTGTGGTTTTATCATCAACTGTTGCATACATTTAACTTGTGTATTGTTAAAAATGTTGCATTTTTGTCATTTTGATTTAACGATTTTTTGGTAACATCGCAGTATAATTTTTACAATTCATTAATTTTTTCGAGTTCTCTTTTTTTGTTTTCCATCAAGGCTTTTGTACAATTGATACTACAGTTTTTACAAACGTAAAAGAACTGCGTTCTGCCAGTTAAAACAAATGAAAATATTGGGTATTGCTTAGTTTTAAAGTTGCAAGTTGCAGACAGTGACAGTCCTTGGTATGGGTCAAGAAATGAGTCGCATGCAAGGGTCTTACTCTTAGTCTTAGACAGTAGAGTTGTACATAGATCAGTAGTACCACAAAATGATGGTATTCTTCAACCAAAATTTAAACTTAGTTCTGTTGTCCTGCAACTTCATGCAGTTTCATGTCTGACTGTATTATAAAGTAAATTTTAATGAAACATTGAAATTACTGTTAACATAGATATTATTCTTTAATTTTTGCTGCATAAATTAAGGAATAACAAATGTTACAAAAACGTATGAACACTATTTGAAGTTATTTTTCCATGTGAAAACTTAAAATAATTTTATAAACAGAAAACGAATAGGAATACAGTTTAAATTTGTTTTCCATATGAATAAATATATTTAAGAAATCCACAGTTATCCATTTATAATTTCACACAGCATTTAATCTAGAAATGATTATTTTGATCATTGGCTTATTTTACTGTGTTTTGAGGTATTTTATAATTTTGGCAAATCGGTGCCAACTTTCAGTTGTATATAATTTATCGTTTGAAGATTAACAGTTTATGGACAGAAACATTTGTAAAAAAAAAGAGAGAGAGAGATCATATCGTAGATGTTTTTCCCCACTTTTTACATAGTTTTCATTTGTAATTTAACAAATATCTCTTCTCTAACAGGTATACCAAAATTTTTTGGTCAGTTTTCAAATGAATATTTGTATAAAAATTAATGTCACTAAACAATAAGAAAAAAGATGTTTCGTTTTGCACCTGAAGATCAGTGGAAATCTTGCCAAATGAACATTGCATATAATCTGGTTCATTGGAACTAATGTTCTTTTCATTAAAAGTTCAAAAACTTTTATTAACTTTTTTTCAAATTTTATAGCTACTAGCTGACAAACCCTTTCATGCACATGGAAAACATGCATGAGGCCCAGATTCATGATAAAAGGGGTCCGACTAAAAGTCTGACTCGCTCTGCATCACTCCCCAGTGGGTCACTAAGGCTACATGCTAGGTTTGGTGACAATCCAGCAGTTTGCCTGTTACAAGTGGACACAAACATGCAGACTTTTGTCAAATGATGGTTTAAAATTATAGATTAGTTTCATTGCAGAATTGTGAAAATCGGATTTTTATTATTTATTTTAATTCTCAATTTTTCAAACCTCTTTATTTTTTATACTCCATCAGTAAGTCTGTAGAACTCGAATCTTAGTGAGACTACAATCTCAGAATTGTTTTAATCTAAATGATTTTTTTATGGTCAGAAACTTAAAGACTGAATTTTGTTTTTTTTTAATGGTTGAATCTAAAAAAAAGGTTATTCCGATGTATAGTTAACAGTACAATTTGCAAGATTTAAAATAATAAAAGATAGCATGATGGCTTTTTTTAATTTTTATATCTGTCTGCTTTTATAAGTTTACAAGGGAGACTAGTCTGTTTCAGGAAGACTTGTTAAAATCAAAGAATGGAGGTGGCTTAAATGAAACAAAGATAAATCTTAAAAGTGAGAGACAGCAAAGTTTGGACTGAATTTCTTTAAACCATTTAATTAATATGTAGGGTAAGAAATAAAACCATAATTTTAGATAAAAAGGACACATGTTTATAAAATCAATGATGTTAATACACTGATAAAATATGATCAATATACTTCATATCGTGATGTCAGAAAAACATGTCGGTTAAAGAAGTCTTAATATAAGATGTTAAAAACCCTATAACCCAAGTGCTTTTGAAAGCTCTCAGGTTATTGGGTTTTAACATTTAATATACTTCGTATATTGATTCAGTAATATTATTCCAAGCTAAGGATATTATAATTATGAAGTAAAAAGAAACATTCTGGCTTAAAAATTTCAATTACACATCTGGCAAATTTGTCTGTTTATTCTGTGATCCTTCATAGTTTCAGTGAAAACAAAGTATATTGATAAGATGTTGATTTGATAAGCAGTTAAATAAAAAATAGTTTTTAATACAGAATCATGAAGTGCCAACATTATATTTTATTTCTTTAAAGAAGGTTTTGTCAATCCATTTAGGTTAATGGTGGGGAGTGTCACAGAGTGAAACTGTGTTTTTAGACAAGCTGTAATTAATGTTTTTGTTTGTTCCAGCACTTAACTGCCTTTCTCTTCTGTAATATGCTGGAATGTTTGTTGTCTTAATATAATATTAACAAATGCTTATTTTAATAATGGCTGGAGACGGCTTAAATGGGTAATGAAGAATCACCTGATGATGACAAAAC